GATAAAACTCAGTGTATCAGTAATAAATGTTTTTCAGCAGCCATTAAAATGTGACAACGAAGAGATTGATTGCGATGTAGCTGAACTTGACCAAAAGACAAAACTAATTCTACATGTTATTTTTCAATCATCCATTATATTGTTATCTCAATTTTGTTTACTTTATACCAAACGTAGTATATTAATTGTGTGTTGTATTTTATAACGTACCAGTCGTTATTGCATGACTGCTACAGCATATAAACTTGACCGAAGGCACATAAAAGCGGAATCTCTTGGCTTGCATAATTGCTTTGAGTTGGTTGCAAATTCTGACCGAAAGATATGATGAGATCATTTACGAAAAGGCATTCAGATACAGGCACTGATATTAATGCCATGGAGGACATTTGCAACCCAATTTACTGTAGTGTATGCAAAACACAATGTTTATGTGTTGAGTGTAGTTTAGATATGGAAAGGGAATGATTTTACCTGATTAGACAAATATTTTGCGCCTGTGAAATATTCTTGACTTTGTACCAAATAAATAAACAATTAATCACAAATTGAAATCATATAAATTCAATTTACTTCATGGACAGTACAAAAACCCATACAGCAGTGCCAGAACAAAATTCTAAAATATACAGTATACTGTAACCATATAGCTATTTCAATTAAAGTTGACAAAGACAATAGTCAGATGTACAATAATATGAGTGCTATATAAATGAATAATGGAATAATGATAGTTTTCAATAAGTTTAACACCTCAAATATATTTTGAATACCAATTTAATTTGTATTACCATGAGGCTATTGATGTGTTAAAATAGGATATTTTTAGCGTTCAGTTGTACATTTAACTATTGTTTGTGACACTAACCTTAATTGTAGGAATAGCTGCATTATAATATAGAACAAGTGTAAATTGCATGTGCATCTGTTAATCCTTTCAAGCTAGGGTATATGTATAGTCTTGGCAGCCTGTGCTACAGCCATACAAATCATTGTTGCTTATAATAATTCCTCTTTATCTTCTGATGTGTTCACTGGTAAGTGCTTGGTGAATGTTCCTCTTGCGTTTGTTTAGCTATAGTCATATGCAGCGACAATTTGTCTATAATGTTGCTAATGAGTAATGTATCTGATGATATATCTGCGAAGAAACCTTCATGAAAGTGATCATATATTGTTGATTGCAAATGGTTTCAATTCCATGAGATGAGATAAAATAACATTTTCTCTGACGATTTGTGCTTGTGAGAGGATGACTTAACTCCTACAGCTGTGTCGAAGTTGTTTCAAATCATTTCTGCAGATATCCCTCCAGTCGCTGTACTTTAATATTAAATAAACATTCGATTGACTTCACTGTCTTGGGTGTTTTTTTTGGCCGCCATTATTTTAATTTAATGTTAATTTAGGAAGCTAGATTAGAAAATCCGTCATTGATCATCACACACAAGAGTTTCACAATTCACAAATTCTGCGATACGAAGCAGGTTTTTATTTCGCTATTCAGCTACCTCTAAGAATAGGTTCGGTTGTAATACTTCTTGTCGATAATACTAATTAACCACAAAGGTGACACTTGCATTCCGAAAACAAAGCGGACTTCGGATAAATCATCTTTGGAGTTTCCTTTCGCTGTGCCATAGAGTTCAGAGCTACTGAATACTGAACTTTGACTTTGTATAAGTGTGCATTCGACCTTTATTTTCTTTGCGTTGATAAATAATGGCTACACTTCAAGGTGTAAAACAGACCTCCAGCCATGCAAATTATATCAAGTAGGTGTAAAAAGCTTTCAAGCGGTGACATATTTCATAAAAGATAACACAAAAACCGACAAAACCCAAAATATGGGTTAATACAGAGCGTAAATGGCCGTATTTTCCATAGGCATAGTTATATAGTTTTTTCGTTTTCGCTCTTGAATTCCCCCTACCACTCCTCCCTAAGTGGCAAAGAGGCGCCAATTCGAATTACCCCTAAAATCTGGGGGTTCACGTGACCAGAGGGAACCAGGGTCTTCGCCGGAGCCCGAGCGTAGGTAAAAGACCCTGGCTTGCGAGGTTGCAGTTCCTATAGATGATCTGTTATGGCTGGATGCTTACATGAACAATGGTGAAATCCCATTCGAACGTGCCATTCTTATGGTAAGAAGAACGTTGTTTCCATTTATGCATGACCCATGCCCCTGGATAGAAGGTATTGTATTTGATAAACAATTTACTCGCTCTTTTCTCGGTCTGGTTTCTACTTGGATTCGAAATGCTGATTTCGAAAACCTTTGTTGATGGGTATTCAGGTTAAGCATTTCCAGTATTGGCTGATTGAATAAATAAAAAAAACCAACAAAACGTTTTTACAGTTTACGGCAAATATTGTCTAGATATCGCGAACTGAATCTTCATTGGCACGGTAAAAGAATTAAGTACGGAAAATTTATCCTTATGGTATTATATGCCGTCTTGTTTAACAATTTTGTGAATTAACAGTAAATCCAAAAAGCACGGAATAAAAAAAAATAAGAGAAATTTTCCGCACCCGTTTCCCTACTGTGCTTATAGCTATGAAGATTCAAAATGCGATAGCAAGACAAACTTCGCGGTAAACTGCATGCAAACATTTTTTTATGCGCTACCATGCAGTATTTATTTATTCAGACTGGCCAATACTGGAAATGTTTAACCTGAACCTGTCAAACGATGTTTTTGAGAAATGGTATTCTGATTTGAACATTATGTATTTCCAAGTAATCTTAAGAGTTGAAACTTCAATACACTGAGGTTAGTTCATGGTAGCTCTATGCAATTTTCTGATAACAATTAACAAGGTGCATAATTATTTCATTTATAGGAAGAGTCGAGACGCCCTTGGACGTACTAAGATCCATCTTTGCCATTTACCTTTATCGCAAGAAGATCAGTGATTTGATAAATCTTGAGAAAGATCCTGCTGATTTCAACACTTCTATCAGCCTGAGAAAGATACATCAACCATCTTCTCAAACGAGTTGTATCCTGCTTGTGTGATGGCCGTATCCCGGGCATTGATTTACGCTACTTGAGGGATGCTTTTTAATCAGTCCAGGTGTTATATCTTTCCTGCAACGTAAAGGTCACAAAAGTGGTGCAAAGGTACTCATGCTGATACACAACTGGCATAAAGCTGTGGATGGTCGAGGGCTTTCCGAGTCTGTTCGGGCAGTGTATTGCAAGGAAATGAAGGAGTGGATTTTATCAGATTAGATGCCTTGGTTTAAATCAATGCCAGGATACCGTTTTATTGATGTTAACAGGTATGTTTTGTCAGTTATTGTTGATTTATTGTCACTATCTATCCAGCTATTCTTGGGTTTCACTACGGCATTATGAAACCCAAGAATTAAAAGAACAGTTATATCAATCTGTTTAATCAAGTCACAATGTAAAAACTCTCTCTATATAGGAAATTAAAAGGGATCTGTGGCTTGACAAGGGAAGTTGTTGTTGGAATGGTTGCCAACCTTGAAAGCAGAGAACTGCGTAGAATAGAGTATACAGGGTGTATCAAAATAAACGCAATTCATCTTTTGAGCTTAATAACTTTCGAAATACTATTTCTAGTTAAACGCTTTTAGGCTTACTTCAAAGCCTGTTCTTTTCTCTTTCAAACAAACTATTATCCTTGTCTCCAATGCTAGTAATAATTGCACAGGAAAAGATTTAGTAAAACCTATCATTTTTAGTTGCTGTTTAATTATGCAAGTTTACTATGTTATTGTTTAGTCGGTTTAAATGTTAGAATTTTCTTCTTTAAACTTTAATGTTGTCGTCACTACATCTGGAAAACCACGTAAGAACAAATTAAAAGTATTTTAAAAGAGACCGGGTTGTTTGAAAATCCTAAACGAATGCTAAAAATCGTCAAAACATTCTGGTGTCTGAGCCAGAGTGTCATCGAATTGCGATGTAATGTAAACAGAAATTATAGCAAGTTGATGTCAGTCAGCTTAGATGGTCCAAGCCAAAATTATATCGCATTTGAAGTTTCAAACCGAGTTAAAAATAGTGGAAGAAAAGCCGTAATTATACTTATTGTTACAATCCATTTAATAAAATGCAACATTTGTTTTGTTTTAATGAAAAAATCAGTTATTTTCATGAGAACGATTTGTTATTCCATCTCAATTTTTTTAATCTCCAATCGCAATAACGTATAGTATTATTACCCGCGAACCAATGAGTCAAATTTAAGAAACAACCCACTGTTAGAAAGCTGAATGGCTACGCTTTAAAATGAATGTAAACTTTAACGTTTTCGTCTATTATTTGTTTAGCAATTTACATTTCAGTCGAGGATTGCCCTTTTTTTTATACACCCTGTACATTGATATTATGTGCAAATACATCAATATCATAAACCTATACAGCTAAAAGATAAACCGATACAACTAAAAGATAAACCGATACAACTAAAAGATGAGGAAACGGAAGTAAATTGGAAAAACGGAAGTAGATCTGTTCGGCAAAATCGCGTGTTCCAACCAAGATGCGTCAAGTCAATATATATTGAACCACGTACTCATAATTTGTCTGTACCAAATAATGCGTGTGTGCCACAGCCAGCCTCGAGTATAAGGGTTTCTTCTCAAAATTTTAACCTGCAAGGCAAAACTATAGTTTTCAAAGTGTGGGGCGAAGGAGACCACAAAACCCGTCTGTGAACAAAAACGAAAAGACTCTTCTAGTGAAAAGCGCTCTGAGGTCCGTTTATAATTTTCAACAATAACGTCGAATTCATTTCGTAAACTATTTAAATAAGTGCATAGTACATGTAGATTGTTGATTAAAAACTGCTCCGTTGGGTATGATCCGGTGATTCTTGTTGCTGAAACACTTAATGTGCGTTCATACTCTTATAATCCACGACAACAAAAGTCTGGCGAGTCGCAATGAGTGCGACTTTGTTCAGCATTTCTTATTAAATCAACCAATTCACGAAAAACGTTTTCTGTATTAGGAAGCCAAATGCGTGGTCCAATAGACGCTATTATTGTATGTCGGCGCGCCGTTGCATGTACTTCCGTTTTCCCAATTTACTTCCGCTTCCTCGTCTTTTAATTATATTTACTTCCGTTTCCTCATATTTAGTTTTATCGGTTTATCTTTCAGTTGTATCGGTTTATCACATTGATGTACTCGATTGATATACATTTCAGATATTTTGTCCGCTAAAAACCTTCATAGAAACATTTCAAAGCAAATTCCTAATATCCTTCTTCCGAAATATTTTTCTTAGAAAACTTGTTTGGATCAAAAGAGCTTTTATTTTATAAAGTTCTAAGATAAACAGATAAGCACAAATACACAAACCAAAGCAACCTGGTAAATTTTTGGCCATGGTTATCGCTAAACAAACTTTGAACAACCTGCCCCAGTGGTGTTTTGTGTTGGTGTTATTTTGTATCTCCCGGCAAACCGGGCTCACGTTGTGAACAGGCCCTGAATTCCAGTATTTTTTAAATGAGATTTATGTTAAATGGACGTCCCCATTACTTTAATAAGTTTGCATTTCAAAAGCAGGTAGAAAACAAGAATAACAGTTGTTTATATATTTTATTTGATAGGCTACACTTAATGCCAGAACATCAATATTAGCTGCGGCAAATCCCATTGGAGGCCGTTATGACAGGACAAAATCTTTAAAGGTATTGTAATACATGCAGTGTAATACATATGTAGCAAGTTTGTATGCAAGTTTAAAGTGCCACAAACTCCACTATTACCCATTTTGGGCATACGTAACTAAATAGCGTAATATTTGAAGAAGAAGATTCCATATCTGGAATCTTCTTAGAATGCTAAGTGCAAGAATTTTCCAGATATGACTACATTAGATTAGCATAAAACAAAGGAAAACTAATTTGCAATTCATCTAATGTCGTCATGTAGGCTATATCTGGAAACTTCTACAGTGAAAAAGTTGACTAAAATGAGTCGTGTTTCATTTTACGTTTTAGCACAACTTAAATTTATCTGCTCCTATCATGTCTCGGTTTGATTTGTTCTTCATTCTTGTTGATGACTGTAATGAGGTAGGTATATAAATCTACTGAGGAGATTTCTTCGAGTGAAAATTTTATTACTGAAACGTTTCACGCGCGAGGCAATTTTTGAGAAAGTAATTTGAGCATGTCCCGCCTTCTATTGTTTGCACTTTTACTTTCTTTAAGGCCCTGTCTCACTATTGCGTATGAGAGAAACGTAGGCCTATGAGAAGCGTATGAAAATTAATGAAATAATTTTCATACGCATAAAAATCCTTTGAAATGCGAGCGTATGAGTACCGTACATCTGGCGTACCTCTAGCGTATTCAGCGTGTGCCTAGAGTATACTTATCGTATAAACCATACGTCCGAATATGCACAAAAATTTTGAGCATGCTTAAAAAAAATGTTCTGCCTCGCCGTATGCCAGCGTATGCGACCGTGCTTGAAACGTATACAACCTAAGCCTAACGTACTCCTAGCGTATGTCAGCGTATACCGGCGTATGAGTGATATTTTTCATACGCTGGCATACGCTAGTACGATACGCAATAGTGTGACAGGGCTTTTACATACAATATGCTCAACATACTCGACTACTTCTTTATATAACATGGCTCTGTGATTGACTCCGAAATTGCATTGCAAGTTGCGTGGAAATCACGTGGAAATTACATTGTATATGATGTCGATATATCATATGATATGAACCATCTAACTACAAATGTGTTTTTTTTTGGGGGGGGGGGGTCGAAAAATTTTATTCTTATTGTTTTGATTACTGCCAAGATGAATTTTAAAGTTTGGTCAAGACAAATATCGTCTTGGCTGAGCAGACTTATAGGAGGTTTTTCTATACAGACATGCAACCGGCTGCAGGAGTCGGCTAAACTTTATTTCAAACAAGGTCAAAGGATGATGGTTTTCCTTGCGATATATTGACATCTAGTTTTGCTATATAGTGAACTGTAGATCCCTTCTTTAGCTTGTGTGTGGAAGTTGACGAAACTTGTTAACATTTGATTATATTTTAGGTAACAGATTATGCTATTGCCAGACGTATTGTTGACTTACACAGTCATATGGAAGAATCTGTCGAGCGAGTGTACAGTGTGGTAAGTTCGGCATCCTCTAGGATTTTATAGAAACTGTTATTGTAGTTTATACTACAGTTTCTGTGATAACAGTGTTGTCACAAAACCTAGACACAAATAATTTTGTGTTAAAGTTGTTTCCTTTCTCTTAATGTTATGTCTCATCCTTTTTACGCAGGAAGATGTTCAGCGATATATGTTGTTCGCAAGACAATTCAAACCGTTGGTAAGCTATTTACTTCCTTAAGCTTTCTCTTGTTCTCTATAGTAATGGGGAAACGTTCAGACACGTTACTATATACGTGTAGTAACTGCGAAAATTTACTCTTTTCTTTTGCGTTAACCTTTAGATAAGTAAAGAAGCTCAAGAATTCTTCGTGGAACAATATAAACATTTACGTCAGAGAGATTGTTCAGGTGAGAGAGTTTAAATATTTATTGCAGTTCCTGTATTACTAGCCACTATTAATATGTGTGCTAAAATCCTCATGTAAAACGTTTATCCATGTCGTCAAAGTGTTCTTTAATTCTTTTGGCTGTACATACATGTACAGCTACTGCTTGCTATTAAATTGCCTATCGCGGCGTCAATCCACAGCATCGGCTTATTTGCTAGCATTACTTGTCTGGATGTTGCATGATCTCCATACTTAGCCTTAAACTCTTAGCCAATCAGGAGACACATAGTTGCTAGACTGCTAGAATGTATGGAAATTATAGTAAATTGTTGCACTCTGTTATGGAACATCTTGTAATTAAACATGCATACATATCTTATATATCATAACTCATGAATAAAAATTTCCTTTGCATTTCATCAGGTGTCGCTAAAACATCATGGAGAATTACTGTCCGTCAACTGGAAAGTATGATTAGACTGTCTGAAGGCATGGCGAGGATGTACTGTCAAGACACTGTAAGACTTGTATTATTTTGCATTACAGTAAAAACGTCAACTCAGAGGTTGCCATAGAGAATCTGAGAACCTATAGTTGTTCATAAAAGTCCGCGTTACTACTTGCAATTTCACATCCATCAGAAGAAGAAAATCGCAGCAAGAATTGCAAGTGTAAACGGACATTATATATACCGGTCCAGTCAGTAGTCAACTGATTTATAAACTACAGTTACAAGTCATTAATACACTACAGAATGTGGCTGAACCACCTAGAGCTACTAAATTCCGAATCCTACCAAAATCCTCTGGGAACTATACCCAGAGCTACCAAATTCATACCAAAATCCTCTGGGAACTATACCCAGAGCTACCAAATTCGTACCAAAATCCTCTGGGAAGTACCCAAATCCTGTGGGATCTAGGAACAGGTGTGTATAAGTCACGATCTTCTTTATCTCTATTCTATTGAAGGTTCAGCCAAAGCACGTTAAAGAAGCATTCAGATTGCTCAACAAGTCCATCATTCGAGTGGAAACACCAGATATTCAGTTTGATGACGAGGAAGATCAGCCTGAAGGTATGTAAGGGGCCATATCCGTATTCAAGTTGCCATACAATCAACATTATTATTAGGCCAGATGATGAGATACAGTAAGTTCAACATTAAAGGCGGTTTTCCAGTCCTTGCACGAAGCTCCTCGCTGCGAGTGCGTGTATCTAATTAAAATTAACTGTTTTGCATTGTGATTGGATGAAAGTGCTCATGCATGCACTCGCGGCGAGCTGCGAGGAGCTTCGTGCGAGGACTGGAAAACCGCCTTAAGACTTAGTTGAATTAAGATTTATGGAGCTACTGGCCAACTCAGTCATACAATCCTGAACGATCAGACAATCCTGCACGGAAAATTTAAATGCCTTCACGCGGGCTTTTTAAAGTTTTTTAACGTGTGAAGTTAATAGTATGACGAGAGACAAGTTAACAAAACCGTTAGTCAATTTAATAAAGTTAAATAACGTTTAAATAAAGTTAACCATTGTTTCACTGTAGTTCTTTTATAAAACAGTTATCCATTGTTTCACTGTAGTTATTTTATAAAACAACAAGTCGCCTGCTCAGGCGTTCACACTGGCCTTCGCGGTTGGTAAAATACCATCGCAATATTCTAAAAAATAATTTGAAATATAACAAAATACGTCACACAATTACAGCGTCTAAGATTTGTAACGTAGTTAAACACGAAACTCGTTCTGATTAACATTGTGTAGAACTGGTCCTAACTCCAATCCTAATCCATGTCGTAATCACCTGAACATGTTTTGGCTAAATTTCGAAATCCTGAGCCCACGATGCCACAATGGAAAGTCACACTTGCGACAATGCCATTCTATGACACTGACTGCGGCCAGTGTAATTACCAAACGATTTTCCGTGCAGGATAGCGTCATCCATGCACGCGAGATGTTGCAAGACTTTCGGAAAGCGTAAAAATACCAGAGCCAGAGGACGAGCGTTTTTTACGCTTTCCGAATGTTTCGCAATATCCCAATTGCATGGATGACGCTATCTTGCATGGAAAACGATTTGGTATTCCTTTAATCTAAACCTAGAGTTAATGGCATTGTACAGTAACAACACCACACGTTATATGAAGCTAGTTATCTAAGTCTGGAGTTAATGGCTGCAGCTCCATTCCAAGACTGGCATATCTCCATAAAAATAGAATGTGAACCAGTGATGTTTTCCATTTAGCAATGGATGAGGATGGTGATGATGAGACACCAGCTGAGAATGGTATGGTCAATGGTCATGGTGATGGTCCTAGTGAAACATCAAAATCAAAAGTTCGTTTGTCGTATGAAGATTATAAACATATGGCAAATCTTATGATCATGCATATAAGACATGAGGAGGACAAAAGAGAAGGTAGGGCAGGGATGGATTTACTGGGGGGTGCACCTCTCCTAGCCTTGGAAAACGGGGGTACCCAATTTCCTTGGATTTGATAAGGAAATCGAACAAACAAGAATATAATTGAGACAAAATGACGGCTAGCCGTTTTGTGAAAGTTACTGATAAAGAGTGAATATTCCCCGATAATCACGTCGCCTTCGGCGAATAATTGTTAATTACTTGATCATATGAGGTATAAGCTGCAGTCTTAGATGCAACATGCAGAAAACAACAAAATATGCCAGTATAGTGTTACCGATGTGTATACTATATAACATATAAATATAAAATGAATGATGATTGTGCATTTGTGACTAAAATTGCAACTGTATTTGCTGATTCCGTCATAAGTGAACTGAAATTTTAATAACTGAAATTTTACTGTAATGTGGTGAGTGTATTTGGAAATATTGTCTCTTTCCAGATGGAGACAGCTTACGTCGAAGTGATGTTGTAAATTGGTATTTAAAGGAGGTCGAAGGTGAAATTGAAACTGAGGAAGAATTAGCACAGAAGAAATTCTTAGTTGATAAAGTGCTTGATAGACTTATTGGTCACGTGAGTAATAATAATTGCAATCTCTATATGCTATTCAGAAGAACATGAAGGGGAAGGGAGATTAGTACTTATAAATTCTAAATATTTGGAAATTTTTATTTGGAAAGTGTTGGTTGTCATAAGACGTTTGGCCAAGATTGTACTGTTGCTTAAATTTAAAACTTTATTTTAAAATTTGTTTCTGATAAGGTTTTTTACAACAAAATAACGTTAGCATTGGCTAGCTGTTCAACAGAATACGTTCATAAGAACTTTGTGGTTGCTGCACTAACAATAATTTGAAAATATTGTTGCTCTAATGAATGACATATCTCAAATACCGTCGTTGGCACCTACGGTTGAACAATCGGAGATAGGCACATCTATATTTTCACGTATAACATTGCACATCTGTCAAAACGTCATCAAAGCATATCACAATGTTCCTCTAATAACGATCGGACGTTTTCCACACAATTGTTTTCAACCAAATGCTCAATTGACTGGGTAGCGCAAATAATGACTGGGTAGCGCAAAGAATGTGGGATTATAGTTTTACAGTCTATTTTACAATGCAAAACAGGTCTATTTTACAATACAAAACATTTAATATAATGCTTCAGGCAATTACCATGTTTGACCTGGAATTTTTGACCGTCAGCTCTTAACAAACAGAAACGTTTACATGATTTTATCTACGACTGTTCACTGTTAGATACAAACGACGATAATCGACCTGACTATTCTTCATTTTATGTTTCGATCTAGGATCATGTTATCTTAGCCTTGCAGCGACAAGAAACAGAAGACACTGAATCTGACAAGTCTGACCCATTCCTGGTTGTCCATCCGAACTATGTGATCGAGTGAGGACTGTCTCAATTAAAACTGTCATTTAATGTCTTGTACATTACCTTTCGTGGATTATACACTGTACACAATAGCATACAACAATATATAAAGGTCGCACCGGTCTTAACACTAGGACTGGATGGAGCATCTTTGGAATTCAACAGGCAATTTTGAAGCCAGTGTATTTATGATGAGAAGATAGGTGTCACATTATTTGCCAACTTACACCTCGTTGTGGAATGGAAACTCTTCATACGAGTTTCAGAACGTTTTGAACACTCGAGACTTGAGGCGGTCATATTGGGTGACCTCGTTAGTTGTTCATTTGCAAGTTTAAGAAGGAAGAGATACCGTTGATGACCATTCTCCATCTAAGCAAAAAACGCCCAACCTGTAACAATGTTGATGAAAACAAGCTTGAACAATATTTTACTGCCCATATTGTTCCTAGTGGTTGTTAACAATATTGTTCAGCGTTGTTCAGCCTGGACAATGCTGAACAATATTGTTAACCACTAGGAGGAACACTATCAATAGGCAGCAAAATATTGCCCAGGCCTGTTTTCAGCATCATTGTTATAGGCTGGGCGTTTTTTGCAGTGTAGACAGCGTGTTTCCTTTCATGCCTATAACAAAAACTGCAAGAACCTTTTCTAGCATGTCAGCAACACCACAGTAGATATGTGTTGGTCACACCAATATGGCCGTTACTGGCTTCATTTATGCCACCACAGTTTATGCGTAGCTATTCAGTCCTAGTATTGAGGTCAGTAATACGACCTGATCGATATCATTACATGTATATATTATTTGTTGGTCGCTTTGATGCTTCATGAGAAACATTATCTGCCTCGACAAACAATTTTACTCCATTGCATAGTTGTCTCTAGAATAAAGATGGGGAGCAGATAAATTATCCGTCTAGAGATAGGCTAGTTAGCTGATAATAATTGTCCGATATCGACCTGAAGTTTAATATACTTGCATAGCAAGACGGGACAAATGTCTTTCACCTGTCTGTAAAACGAGTCGTCCTGACTGATAATTCGTCTAAAGGCGGATTTCCACTCCTCGCACGAAACTGCTCGCTGCGAGTGTTGCATGAGCACTTTCATCCAATCACAATGCTAAACAGTTCATTTTAATTAGATGCAAGCACTCGCCGCGAGCTGCGAGGAGCTTCGTGCGAGGACTGGAAAACCGCCTTTATGCCTGCTTTCCATTTGGTCGCAGCAGTCTTCATCATATCAAGATGGCCAATTGAGTGCAGGTATATTTCTGTAATCAAGACTACAGTAGCTTGACAAAGACGTATTTATACATCATGCAGCATCAATGACGAGAGTCACGACAAATTGAAAACCAGATTAACCATAAAAAACCTACTTTGGTTTGTATGTGATACAATGAACCCGCTGCAATCTCGTACCCATGCAGAGTATGTCCGTTCGCAGGTTAGGTCATGCCCGGCCACGAGACTGAACCCTCAAGTTTTTGTGCAATATTTGAGACATTCTAAGAGGAATGCCATACATTTTTGCTAGAAAAAAAGTTAGACCTGTTTATTGCACACACGAAAATTCATATTTGTGGTTAGTCGCCTTCAAGCAAGAGTGCGATTTCATATTTTCACACAAACATGCAGGCCTGGAAAAAAACTAATTTCTTTCTGTGAGCACTGACACTGACAGAACAAAACATTTCTGGCATGTTGCTATTAAAAACTACGCAAGAACGGTAAACGAAACATTACTAGAGGGAATTTTGCTTCGTAATAAAGCAGACAACTTTACTTGTCAATTTATTGGTAAACGATAAACTGGTAGCTTCTAGTTGTGGGTCATACTACTTTTACAATAAGCCAGTTGCTAGCAACTGAAGCATCTGCAGCAATTATTAGAGATGGTAAATGCTAACTGTGGGACTGCGTGCTGAACTATACCTGTACACCGCTAGTAACTGAAGCATTTACTGAAATTTTAACATGCTAGATGCTAACATTGGGTTATTCTCCTTAATAAACTACCACTACAATATTGGACATAACTGATCGGAGACTGTCTTTCCCTCTATACAAATTAAAATTCGCATATACCCCTTATGATAAATTCCAGTAAAGTCCTGTTTAATGTAATGGTAAATTACCAAAAGTTGCTTCGACTTTTGGGTTGTTTACACCAGAGTATCTAATAATAATAAAGTATCTATTGAACTGGGGGAGAGAGTGTGACATTAACTTTTCAGTATTGGGAGGAATGGTCACAAGACTATTGGGCCCCCTCTAGATTCGTTTGTGATCAAATAGAGTTTTTATGTGTTAAATAGTTATTTAAAATCACCAAAACACATTAAAATAACTGGGGACGAAATTATTTAAACATAGCGTCTTCGAAATATTTTTGTTGTATAAATTGAACAAAACGTCGCATGTTAGGTTTATTTCTTGTTTGTATTTCCAACTATGCTGTCCAATACTATGTTGTAGCTCAAAATCATATGGAGAATGTTATCCCACTTGACTGAGATATGACTCAGATATCCATAGGAGATATCCCACCAAGGCTCGTTTCCCATATGAACACCAAATTGAATTGTATAAGGATAATGCACTTGTCAATTGTAACCCCTCCTCCCAACCTCGGGGAAAGGTTGACTCTTAGTTACGCCTGACTAGGCGGGGGATTTTCTTCTTATGGATCCCCGACCATGGTATGTGGGGCATTATGTGGGAATGTTACAGCCCGCTCGCAGGCTAAGATTGCCCAGTTGAGCCTGAGCCTGATCTTTTTAAAGTCAATTTTGTCAGGAGCAGGTTAGGGCGGGCGAAACGTAGGTCTGTTTTCCAGGCTAGGAGCAGGTAATTTTTTCAATTTTTTTCTCCATAGGTTGGATTGATAGATTAGATAAGGTTAGTCAGGTCAGCTTGGCTCAGGGGGTGGGGCAATAATGACAAGTGCATAATGAACACTTTGGATCAGTAGGGTTATTTAATTTGCATGCAGATCTCACTTATGTGTGTTTCCCAGTTTACTGGACTCGTAAATGCTAACTGTGTGTCATGCTACTCAACAGACCATTTAAACATACCCCAAGCAAAATGATCGATGTGACAATATGAAAGATCATAGAGGGTAAAAACAACTAAAGTGTACATTTACTTTTATAGATAATTTGTGTCGGTTTTCTTTGATCGTCCGAGGTTTATATTAAACTAGCTAATATACCTTGAATAAATAATTACATCAAACTTTTCGACAAAACGCGAGAATTTTTTATCAAATATTTTTGAAAATGACAAAATATGTTAGAAAACCTCCACAAATGAGATATAAGTTAGTTATAAACCTCGAAAGTCGGTTTATAACTGATATATTGCCCTCGGACGCTGCGCGTCCTCGGGGGCAATATATCAGTTATAAACCTCCTTCTCGGTTTATAACTCTAACTTATTTTAATTGGTAAAGACAGAAAACATGTCCCGGGGTAATCCAGGCTTACTTGGTTGTAGACATTTGGTAGAAAGTCGATCTTGCCAATCATACGTTATATACGTTTTACATTAATATATAAAAGTCGGCATACATTTTATGATATAAAAGTGCACGTTTAATTTGGAAATTTCACTCAAATGTTCTGTTTTTGTAGCTTTTACTGTTGTTCGCAAGAATATATATACTTACAAATGGTTGAATAAGCAGCATGTTATCATAGGCCATGTCTAAGTGTATGTAGCAAATGGTAGCAAAACAAATGCTAGCGTGCACGTCGTAACCATATCAACCCAGTATAGATGCAAAGGAATGAGAAATATTGAGTCATTTGAGATATTGAATATTATTGAAAACGAACATGTTAGCCACCTGTTTGAATTCTCTGCTGTGTGTCTCAGGATTGACACTTGATCCAGCTGAAAGTAACACAATCCTGGTTTATTATTTATTTTACTTGCCAATATCTCGACAAGTTACTCAAGAAGAAGCCGTCACACCTGTTCATTGTAAAGTCTACAATAGACACCTTGTTGCGCCGAGCAGGTACCTGCTGGCGTTTCATGCTGCATGACCTGATAAAAACTTCGACTTTTGCTCACATTTAAGAAAACGTTTAAACTTTCTAAGTGCATAGACACGAAACAAAACTTCAAAAGAGTACTTTTCGTATGTTTAAAACGCTGAAGTAACGTTGGGGAATAATAAAGTGGTGATTAAGTGACGTCAAAATATTTGATTACAGCAGTCAGGACCGGCTGCCCATCACCTGTTGCATTTTGAACATAGGAATGTCGTAAAACCTGTTACTTAGCAGTTGGGAGTGTGAGCGGTAAGAGCTGAACAGGCTGCACCAAAATGCCCAAATCTTTCCTAGTTAAGAAGAGAACAAAGTCAAAAGTCTATTACTCGGATAGCGAAGATGAAAATGTTTATACTGGCGAACAAAAACAAGGTAAATCAATCTCTATATACGACCTGGCTGTTAATATAAAATGCATGCACTTGTCGGCTGTCGCCACATGTGGGTAACAAGTGCATCGATTTTTTTCCATTTTTATTCGCGAAGGCTGTTCGAACTTAAAGCAAGTCAGCTTATATACAGTAAGGGTAGCTAGTTATGTTTATGTAGCGAATTGCAAATGAACGCTTTTGATAAGGTTAACGTCGAGATAGAAGTGCGTTGTTAAGTTTACATTCGCACAGGTGTTGCCAGAGTGACAAAAGGCCAACAGACTGCGAGTTATTTGCTTTAATTACACATTTACACTACTTATGATTCTTCTAGAACAGAACGTTTTGAAACGGAAAGAAACACGTTTATTGTGGAAGCCGTATGCGAACGAAAGCAAAGCTAGTAAAAGTAAAAGACCAATTGATGTCTGGTCGAGTTATACACCTGCTACCGAAGGACACGAGACAGACGATAAATCACAGCCTTTGGCATTACCGGCAGACGCAGTGAAGCATGTCAATGAAAGGCAAATAAGTTGGCGAAATATGAAATTAGCGCCGTACAAGATACAATCTCCGTCGGAGCTACAGGACTTGGAAGCAAAGCACCAATGCAGTCGTTGTCAAAGAACATATACTAGCAATGCAGCCTTAGTGAAACACCAGCGGTATTATTGCAATTTCTACCAGACAAAATCATTTACTTGTAAATATTGTGATAAGGTTTATCTATCACTAGGCGCCTTGAAGATGCATATTCGCACACATACACTGCCATGTACTTGTATGATTTGTGGTAAGGCGTTCAGCAGACCATGGTTACTCCAAGGCCATGTTAGAACACACACTGGGGAAAAGCCTTATGAATGTTCATACTGTAATCGTGCATTTGCTGATCGTTCCAACCTACGAGCGCATCTACAGACGCATTCGCAAGTTAAAAAGTACAGATGCGAACAGTGCGCAAAGACATTTTCTCGTATGTCGTTACTGTTAAAACACCAGAACAATGGTACATGTGTTGTGTAGGAAAAGACTTAAAGTAATCATGTAGTGCAGTTGATGTGTTTGGGGCTTTGTTTTGGGTAGGCAAAATGTGTACATTGTTGTTAAATACAAATGCGAACAGTGTGCTAAACTTACATTTTCTCGTATGGTCGTCACTTGATAAAACCCCAGATCAGTGACACATGTGTTATGTAGACAGTGTGACGAGAGGTAGAAGTAAGACATTTTAATTCTGCTCATGCACTCATGCTATTATTGATAAAATACCACAGCGCCAGTGGCACGTGTGTTATGCCGCAGAAGAGCATAATATGCTGTGTGGGAAGGCTTTTGAAACCAAAATAGGCAAAAGCTGTACAAGTACAAAGTTGGTATGGAGCCGTGTGCCAATTATTAAGAGTTTTCGCATGTCATTATAGATTTTGTTGTAAAACGTTACTTGCCTTTTCATTTAGGTTAAATCAGATGTATTACAAATAAATATAGTCTTTGATACAGTGGAATATGAGATTTAGACAGTTATTAGACTAACAGAAGTTTAGCTAAAGGCATAATATCAGACCAATATCACAGTATATAAATCTAAGTTCATAATTAAGAGTAAAAAATCTAGAAAGTGCTTAAGCTAAAAGTATAGAAAGAAGAACCTTCATTGATTAATAAATTTGGGACCAGATCAGGCATGTGACTAGAGCTCTGCGGTACAAACATTGTTCGAATAGACACAATATTTTTACAGTCAAATAGACATATTTTCATGCCTTTTTAGGTGTTAACGGAGCGATGCGCATTTTCGCTACCCGAGTATAAAAATAATAAAGTTTGTATATACACTGGTAACAGTGCTATAAGGGATGAAACAATATAATACTGATAGCATATATATGGTTGGGCAATCACTGAAGGGCCACGTCTCCTCATGTTGGCGGATGAAATTTATCAGAAAGTTGGGTCTGGAAATGCAGAAAATCGAGCTTTGGAGGCTGAAAATTACAAAATCTTTCTTGGGGAAGGCTCCCATCCCCTACAACGTCGTACTTTTCCAGTTCACCACCTCCTAGTTAGGTCTTGTTTCTATGATGGCCCCTCCACTGACGAATTCTTAAAAGAGTCCCCAGTATTTTTTTGCTGAGGCTGGTCGTATACACCTCGACATCAGTGACAGTGTGATTATACAGACAGAAACCTTCATGCAGAAATGAAAACCAGCCTGCATGTGCACAATTTGTTGCGCTCAAGGAATGTTTTCGGCTGCCTGGGTGGACAAGTCTGAAATTCAGTGTTAGTCATTGATACATGTACTACGTTCATTTAATCACCAGGACCAAGCATGCAGTCATTGCAGACTGTTCATACATAAGGCTGCCGCACATGATGTGATCGGCCTGATTGCCTATTGCCTGCACATATTAATTATGGCAACAATCTTGAACATCACTGGTAAGTGACTATATAGCTTTCCCTCTATACAAAATTAACATCTCCTTTAGGTAGTTTACGATAAATCCCCTCTTACAAAAATATGTTGCGTTTTTTAACCCCACCCCCTTTCTTAACTCAGTGTTGAGGTTGTGGCAATTTCTTTGTGTTTATTACTAAGCAATATCAACAATTGTAGTTGGGTAAAATTAGACCAATCAACGTTTACTGCATGAAAGTAAGCGATTTTGCTGAACTTATCATAAATTGAAGTGGATTACGTAATAATATCAAGACGTCTTTGCTGTTATAACAACAATCTATTTTTACAGGTTGCTTGAAAGTTGAAAGTAGGCTGGCATATCTAAGTTGTTTCTTTAACAGCTAAACATTTGCCTTTTTCTCTGATATAACTTGCAGCTTCAGCTTTGAACAATGCCTTGAACAGGTGGTTCTACTTGTCTTACAAAACACGGGGAAACTCTTAGACTATTAAATTTCTTTTCCGTTGCATCACTTTTTTAAACTGTTTTAATTTATTCAAATTCGGCAACCTGTAAATGGACCACTTCATAAAGTCGTTTGGAATCATATGAAAGTCTTGACGAATCGCGAATGGAAGATGGCTGTGAAACTCATTAGAATAACAATATACTCATTATCTATGTTAGTCAACCTTTATTCATACCGTCGCATGCGTATTGTATTTTTGCCCAACTAACCAATAGCAATGTTTTAGGAAAGTTACCTATCCGTGACTCAAACAATAGGGCAAATTGGTACTGATTGCTATTGGTGGATTTGGCAAAAATACAATACGCACGTGACGGCGAAGGACCAGATTTATGAATAAACGGCGTTGACTAACATAGGTAATGAGTTATATTGTTATTCTAATGAGTTTCACACATGCAGCCATCTTCCCTTCGATAGGCTATATGGTTAAAACATTAAAAAATCGACCAAATACAAATAATATTTGATGATCTAGATTAATTTCGCTGTTTCCCCAGCCTCTTCAGTAATATGCCATATTACTGAAGAGGCTGTGGTAACATGCAGGGATATTAATCTAGATAACCAATTATTATGAGGGGCCTGTACCGGGTTCCGAAATCCCGCCATCCCGACCGATTTTCACTTCAAATCCCGTTATCCCGCCATGGCTCATCCCAATTTCCCGCTCCCGACTTTTTTTCTAACACTGTTCAACGTATTATGATTTAAAGAACATGGTAACGACATAAAATACAATTTGAATACACTAGAATACAATACAACAAAGTTTAAAATAATAAATTACTCTAAATTGCGACTCTTATGAAAGCAGGAAACATACATGTAAATGGGGGATTGATGGGGGACAAATGTTCGATATCATCCTTGAAAACAGTAAATTTCGAGCACACAAACAAATGACAACAGATCAGCTAACGTGCAGCTACAAGTTTTGTTGATTTATCCGGCTAATCGTGGGTTACTTCCCGCATATCGCCATGGTATTTTTATTAATCCCACTTCCCGCGATTGAATAAAATCCCACTTCTCTTAAAATCCCGAATCCCACTTGAATTTTAGACGCATCCCGCCATCCCGCAAAACCGGTACAGGCCCCTCTATTATCTGTATATAGTAGCCTAGTTTAGTACTTAGATAATTTATTTTCTATTGCAATTAAGATTGTGTTGAAAGAGTAAGACAGACAAGATGTCGATCAAAAGCAGGTTACTGTTCCTTTCAGTGCCTACAAGGAAAACCTTTTTATTTCAGAAGCAACATTTTCATTGCAATGGTAATGACATCTACGTAAAGTAATTATATTGGACTACGGACATTTTGGAAGTACTTGAGCCTTGAGAATGATATCATACACGTTTTTTATAAAAGTTTGCAGAAGAAAATAATCAGATAAAATGACGTCCTAATCCGATCTCATGCTAAATGATGACACGCACGAGAAAATGATGCATCGGGTTCAATAATAAAAATTTGCCTTTTTCTTTTATGATTATATCTTTCAATCAGCACTGAACCGGTAGCTCATCTTGGGGAAACTATTCAATATAGTTTCCGTTTATACATCATGTTTCTATCAAACCGATTTTATCCAAATTCAGCAAATTGAATGCAAGAGAGTATTATTTTCTTGTTATTACAACTTTCATCAATGATTGACAAGCTAACATAACTTGAGCATGATATCATAGGTAACGTAAAGTCTTCAGTGTATTCGTGGTACTATATTTTTCGCACAGGGAAATTCTCTGACGATATATGATACGAAGACGTCATAAACAGCTAGTATCAGACTGTGACGACACCCGGCTGATCAGTACCACAGATGATAGATAATACCAGATGTCTCACTCAGCCAAAATTGTGTCCGCGATTTTTTATGAGCACGCGTTGGCCGCCATTTTGGCAGTAAGTGTAATCCACGCCATGAAACGTGAGCAATCACACATTTTGGCGGTAAGCGCTATTTTGACAGTAAGTGTCGCACGCGTCATCTGGCGTGATAGCCTCGCGAAAATCGCGGACACGAAAATCATAGGGATAGGTATAGAGTGATTCATCTGGTATAATCTATCATCTGTGTCAGTACTAAGGACGAAATGATGCAACCACATTGAATACTTAGTTGCAGAGAAATCATGGCCCTTCGTCACGTTTTCATGAGAAAATCCTACTACCTTGTCATTGATCACTACAGCTTCAGCAGTTTCAGCCCTGAAGCGGTAGTTCAGCTTTTCTTTTAAACCACGGGGAAACTACGCAGTCTACGCTCTTTCTTTCGCTGTATCAGGCTCCTCTCGCGCTCTCCTATGTAACGTAATCTCTCACTTAAATTCAGCAGGCTCTGTGTAAGAACGTATAAACCACTTTTATAAATGGCTGAATTGTTTCTTAATTCAGTGAATAAAGGCAAAACCAGTTTTCTGATTCGTCTATTATGTGCTATTATGTGCTTACCAATGAAGCAGCAATTTCCTTGTTATAATAATAATAATAATAATCAGAAGCCTTTTACGTATATGGATAATAATAATAATAATCAGAAGCCTTTTACGTATATGGTCATTATGGAGATTTTAAAAAAATATGATACCAAATGATACCATAACAGTTTTGATAAAAAGATAAAAGCGTCCAAATATGGTATGACGTCATCATCAGGTATAAAATGATGACACACATGACAAAATGATGCAATCGCAAAGTTTATTTCTTGTCCAGATTAATGTTTTCTTTGATGATTAGCTGCATGGCTTTAGGCATGAATCGGTAGTTTATCTTTTACTTCGAATCACAGGGAGACTCTATATTCCACTTTCCGTTGCATCACTTTTTCCGCTGTTTGAAATCGGTCTTATAGTTCAAATTTGGCAACACTTGTGTATGCAAGAAAGGCAACTTTGTCTAAAGACATCTTTTATTTAATGGTTGAAAGGCTAATATAATGTTTAATTTGTCGCAGCCGTTTAATCGTTTTCTACAAGCAATGCAAACCCCGTTTGAGTCCGTTTCAGCATACGGTTTCAGCTATTGTAATAATTGTATGTGTTTATAGCGCGCGGCAGAGCGCAGCGCACGGGCAGGCTGCATTCTATTTCCTTGTTTAATAGTGATAACAACGTTTAATTGTAAACCTTTAGTTATAGTTAATACGTAAGGACGTTTTAAAATGCTTGGGTAGAATACTGAGCGTTTGCACATGACGTCACAGCCGCCATGTTGGTGTTCCAATTCAAAAGAATTTTAATTAGACTCTTGTCTGGAACACCAACATGGCCGCCATGGCTTTTGTTGAGTTGGGCCCTTTCTCGATATATGAGCAACCGAAAGTATTGCATATAAATAAACATACGTTCTTGGCGTTATGGTGGGGTATTGTATAATTGTATTTTGTCTTGAATATTTAACTTAAGCCTTCAACCCGAGCATAGGCGTATAAAGCATCGAGCGCTATATACTATATGAAATACAATGTCAATGTCGAGGTCAATGTAGTAAACAATGTAGTTCTATAAATAGCGCTGCAAAGCTTATACATTTCAACTGGTTGAAATGTAGGTAGACAAAATACCTGTAACAATAACTAATCGATATATGAGCAAGCCCGTACAATTATACAATACCCCACCATAACGCCAAGAACGTATGTTTATTTATATGCAATACTTTCGGTTGCTCATATATCGAGAAAGGGCCTTGAGTTGGCCCTGGGGAATCAGTGCAAACGCTCTATAGAAGTTTTGATATACCGGGAAAGTCTCAGTATACCGTAGCATAGTTAATAGAGGAGATGGTTTGGAAACTCATTAGCATTACATGCAATAAACCTCACTATCTATGTTTTTGTTCAGGTTTATGCAAAATGTGGACTTTCATCGTCACGTGCGTATTGTATTTTTGCTCAACCAGCCAATAGCAACGGTTTTGTCCAATTGCCCATCCATGACTTTAACAATAGGACATTTTGAACATTCCTATTGGTTGACTTGAGAAAAATACAATACACACGTGACGATGAAAGACCACATTTTTGCATAAACCTGAACAACATAGATAATGAGGTTTATTGTGATTTTATTGTAATGCTAACGAGTTTCCAAACCATCTCCTCTATTAACTATGACCGTAGTAAGTGATAATATAAATTTTGTGCAGTGAGAAATCCTCAGATAACATGACGTCATGTAATCTGCAAACATGATGGCATGCACGCTATGGCACCCACGCACGACAAATGATGCAACCGCTTAAAAGTTCGTGCCCAGAGTCACGTACGGTTTATATGCTCCATTGTCGACTCGATCGCAATCGCTTAATATTCCATGATATCATGACTGGCATGTCAAAGGGTATATAGTGCCAATAATAGTGAAGATTGAAAATCTTGTTAGATCGACTGCTAAATTCATCCTGTCAACTTTCCATGTCGGAGGAAACTGGAGCACCCGGAGAGAACCCACGACTTTTGGCAGAGCGTCATGACTGACGCTTTTCGCCTGAGTCCATAGCGAGAATGGAACTCAGAGATGAAAGCAATTGCTCTGACGAAACGTCACTACGTGCCACCGAAATCCCGATGAGATGGGAACAAATATATAGACTAACGGCATAAGAGTGAGAGGGAACAAATAGACTATATAACGGTTGTCTTGAAGTCTTTGACTTTAATGTCGTTGACAATACTGATAAGTTACTGATAATTCTTTGTCTTTGATTGGATAGTTTAACTAATTTACAGGCTTTGCTCACCTGTGCCTTTAATAATTAAATACATATATACTTTGTATATACAGTAGCTAATATCCTTTAAATTGTGGCAATATACCAATGGTCACGCGCAATGCATTTTTTAAACTGCATGAATTTGTTAATCACCAAAATTAACTAGACTTTACTGATATTTCTTTGTTGTCTTTGGCCAGTGGGTTAGACTAATCTCCATGCATGCAGACTTTGTTCCTCTTCCTTTTACAAATCTGCTTATGAAAATCCCTGGCAATGGGCCGCACAGTCTCGCGAAATCGGTCAAACAATAGTTATGCTATGCCAAATTATCAATTTATAAATAACTGAAAGAGTTCTTGATATTTCTTTGTCACTTTGGACAAGCTTACATCCTTCTTTGGTAATTTTATAGTTACAGCGCCAGTGGTCAGGCTATCAAATTTTTAATTGGTTAATTACTCAAACCTCTTAGACTTAGGGACTGTTTATGTAAGTCGGGCTGGCCCAGCAAACCGGACTGACTCGTGTATTTCCATTTCGCCTGAATACTGTGGCTTGAAGTCTTGAAATGTTGAAAGAAATAGTTGGTTTAGGCCGGTTATGTGTAAACTTTCCTTGACAGAAGTTAATTCAAATCTTCTGTTACGTTAGAATGTTAAGTATACAAATGCTATGAGTAAAAAATGCTAAATTATGTAATAATCATTACTTTCAAGAGCGAGTCACGTATACACGCATAGGTGAAATTTTTCATATTTATTACGTCACATGGGCAGGTCAAGAGTTAAACCAGTACAATGATCACGAATCCTTGTTAGCAGTATTATTCGTTATCATATAATTTGAGTAATGTGGGAGTTTAGGCGAAATAACGGCAAAGTCACGAATTTTCTCTGCAGTTATTCTTAGCAGATTTTTGTCATGGTGGTGAAAGTTTGCCCGAACTATTGTAATGAAATAACCCGAATTTTCTTGATTTTTCCAAGCATTTGCCCCAATTTCCATGGTTTTCTTAAATTTTAATTATATAATTTATATAATCCTGCCGAAAAGTCTGGAAGTTTCACTTAATAAGTTTTAGGTAATAGGTATGCTCATATAGTTATCAGTATCTTATTCCGAATATAATCCCATAAGGTTTGTCTTTGACGTTTCAAACAAAATGTGTACATGTTCGAATGTGGTTCAAGTTTGATCTGGTGATCCAATAATTTTGCATGACTCATGAAAATGGAGCTTTCCAGTTTATTTCCTAAAAGATTATTAGTTCAACTGACCACGGGTTCGGTTTCTTGTTTCGCACGGACGATTACTTGGACGATTACTGATACGGAACAGCACAGCCTTTTTTGGTAATTTTGTAGCAGATTAGTAATTCTTATAAATTAGGCCGCTCCTTATAAACTACATAATAATATTATAATCGTCATTTCTATACACTGTAGTGAGTGTAGGAATTAGGAAATTTTCGGATGGCATATAATAATTGTTTATGCATGTATATGGTAATATGGCGTCATAATTTTGACGCGCTCACGGATTAGTCATGAAACGTGCCACGATGTTTCCATTCTACATCACGCGTGGTTACTCTTGAAATGTTATACATTTACTACGTCATGACCCTATAGCGTAAGCCCCAAGTAGTCCGATATTATTCTAGAGTCGTTGAGAATTAATCAAGATTATCACTTTCCATTTAATAAAGCTTTATAATTATATAGTTCTGGGGCCGGTTGTATAGACTGTATATTATACGGACTCTTCGGCATACTCCTTCTATGACTCAGGCTACTTGCAGACCGGGCCGACAAAAACAACAGAAATTAAGGGACTGAAACTGAGACGTCCAATAGGCAATAGCTCCACAATTTGACTGACTTTTTCGACTCCAGTTCTCGCTGCAGATATTATGGTTGAAATACATGAGCGCCCTGTTGAAATGCAATCATTCTACACGTGGTTATTCAATTCATAATTACATACGACAGAATACGAATTGTTTTCCGTTCTCATACCTCTATTATTTCTTACAGCCTTCAATTGATTTGCGTGCCCGCCTATTTCTCTGCCTTCTAAAGCGATTTTTTAAGTGTGCCAATATTGCCTGATCCATGCAACTTTAATAATCCCAATGTAGTTATAGTGCACGACTTAAACAAAACGAAACTAGACTCATTCTTGAGGCAAAATAACCCGCAAAATAGCTATTAACTTGTTCATTCGCGTTCTGACTGGAAGACGTTATAGAAAGATTAGGCCTGTTTTATATTAAGTGGTTTCATTTGACGAATCAGATTAAGTGTGAGTTTAAATTTCGAGTCATAACTGCACAAATTGACCATTTTCCACTAGGCGAATTTGTTGTTTTTTGCCTCGCGCGAACAAATGGGCTTAAGGCCCGGATCAAACCAAAAAAAAGTAAAAAAAAAGTTAAAAAATCAAAAAATTCTCTTTTTAAAAAAAGTTAAAAAAAGTTAGAAAAAAAAGTAAAAAATAAAAAAAAGTAATAAAAAAGTAAAAAAAGTCAAAGTCAGGCGTACTCTTTACCTTTCCATCGTAAAATCGCAGTTATGTTACTCACTGACGCATGCAAGTATGGTCTCCATTTCGCACAGGAAACTGAGTGAAAAGATCGAGAGTGTTCAAAGGAGAGCCACTGGATGGATTTTAAAAACCAAGACTGGCGAGATGTCTTACACACAACAACTGCTGACATTAGAACTTTTACCTCTTTGTTACGACAGAGAAATCAAGGACCCTGTTTTCTTCTTCAAAGCGTTGTACGGTTATATTAACCTTGACATTAACGATTATGTTTCTTTTGTTGATCATGGCCGTACTAGACTCAGTCAGATCTCTAGTGTTATCCTCCAAACACCCTTGTGTAATACCACTACATTTAAATCATCGTATTTTAACCGTATAGTTAAACCATGGAATAATCAATATTGTATGTAAAGAGGTTAACTCTGAAACTTTTTCCAGCCCTATCTCTTTTAGAAACTTTCTCAAACTTAAATACTCTCATCTTGTTCACACAGTCTACGATGTTGAATTATACCCTGTACCTGGTCCTTGGTCCGGGACTATCCCTGCCATAGGACTTAAGTTTATGTAAGTGTGTGGTGTATGTGTGTGTCTGTATATCTCTCCGTGTGTGTGTTTGTCGACACGTCTCTCATTATTTCTCTCTCTGTACACCTCTTCCCTCTTTCATTTCTTTCTTCTCTCTCATCCACTCCTTCATAGTAATTTTGGTAACATATATATTAATATTTGATTTTTAGTTGCTGGGGCACCTGTGCCAGCAACTATAGGTTTCGGGTGAATTTGGTCTCCTTCTCCTTCTCCTTCTCCATGGATAGTCACAAAATGGAAATTCCCACTGATCTATATGGTTAGCACTATTTTCCATCCAGCAAACTGACCTGGCGTCATTTTCGCAGGTGTTAAATGGCTATGTAACTAACCCAAACCCTACCCCTACCCTAACCCCTAACCCTAACCTCAACCCTAACTCTAACCCTAACCGAATTAATGAAAAAATCCAAAAAGAAACGACTTTACAAAATCGATAGGGCGGTTTGCTGGATGGAAAAAAGTGTTCACCGATCTTATATACGAAGCAATACGTGCATACATTTTCGCTATTTTAACGGTCTTAAAGTCTTCGTAAGTGTATAAAGTGAACGTCAAATTGTTCTTTTAATCACGCTTTTTCTTCTGGGGGCTTTTTGAAAGAAATCCATCAAGAATATACAGAATTATGTCGACGTTTCACTATCGAGGAGTGGAGTAGATTCCGAGGTGGATTAACTGACAATAACTGTGTTATTTATTCGTCGAACCGTTATTTCTGAACGTTTATATTTTTGTTTTGTGAAGTTTTACATCTATATACGCTTTAATATGGCTTATAGTCCAGGTTGCTCCAATAGTCTGCATAAAAATCGTATTTGTTTACATTGGAACTGTCATATTTGGATGCTAGCTCTATTTTTCAAGAAGGCTCAAATGTTGGCTGTTTTGAAGTGATACACGAGGTACGTGACACACAATCTTGGATTGGTATTTCTTAGATAGACATGTTTTTAATTGATAAACCTTGCAGCCATTGGCTGTATTTATATGTTAACATTAATACATAAGGTCCACTTATTATTCTGGTTATAGGACTGAACTATTAGCTTAAAAACTCACTTGTTCATGTTGTAAACTGCATCATGTATTCATGATTTTTACTTGCAACTCATTTGCTTATTTAATAGATTGCAAATTTAACAGGGGTCCCCTTGTTAAAAATTTCATGTCAATTTGTGAAGATTAACCTCGCAATATTTTGCAGATTGCAAATTAAAATTTATAATCTATCAGTAATCTGTACCTTACTATGATTTAACCATTTGATGATATTTATGTGGCTTTAACATGTAATAGCTTCAATATTTTGGAGTGTATTATTTGATGTTAAGCCCTTTAGTTAAAAATCACCAATTGAAGAACTGCTAGAACCAAAAGTGAATACTGGAACTATCCATATTTACCATGTTGCACCCTCAATGCCTGGTTACCCCACGTCTTGTCATCCCCTCCCCCTCTTTGTTAGCGATTCAGTTCTACACCACTGTCACTGACTGCTAATATAAAGTTATGTAAAATTTTAATGCCAATAGCTCAAGGAGTGCAGTGCTATGGGAAGCTGTTTTTGATTGGGGAACTGAAAGCAATGGCCAAAGGCCCGAGGAAAGTTTTAAATTTAGAGTCTTTGAAATGCCATTTCCTGAACTTTGGGAAAGATTTGACAGAATTCCGATGGTCATAAAACAGCATTTTAGTATGTCGAAATTTACAATTTCAAACAGCCCCCCCCCCTGGTTGCTACGGCCCTGGGGTGAAATATAACCACGGTCTATCGCATGCATCAGTTAGGTACAAAAAGCTAAATTCCGCACCAATAATCCAATATATGCGATTGTCCATATCATATAACCCTCTAAGTGGCAATGTACCCTCATGTGACCTACCTTATTATTTTACTGTGTCTAATGCCAAGGATTTTACGCATCAGGGAGAGAGTGCTGTCACTCAATGGGTTAATTCACAAACGACTCCTTAGTCCTTAACTGATAAACAATTTTTGTGTTTTAAAATTTGTTATAAACAAGTTAAAATAAAAATACACAAATCTGTATTTATCCTCAAATATGAATAAGGGGTTACTATAGCCCAAGGCCCAAGTATGTACACTTGTGCCACAGTACCAGCACAAAATGGGCTATTTCAGCTTTCAATTCTGCTGGAATGAGGTGATAAATTTTTAGCTTTGGAATTCCTCAGGGATAAGCAAATTTCTGTGTGGAATTATTTGGGGGTAATCTGGTAATGGCTATTTTGAATGAGATTTTCTCAGGGGTCAAATGCAAAAATTTTAATTTTTATCCAGGGTCTCTCTTCATGGGTATTAACAGGAATTCTTCAGTGGATCTCTTTTATGACCTGTAGGAATTCTTCAGTTCAGCGATATGATGAACTCTTGTGCAACGGACCTGATTGTGAGATTCCACTTCATTGAAAGGACGACCTTAGGACGGACCATTAGAAAAGTGATGGGGGGGGGAACCAAAAAAAAAATTTATTCCCAGGAAAAAGTTAGGGAAAAAAAATCTTCCCAGGCATAGTGCAAAAAAAATTCCTTTCTTGGAAGATAGACCTATAAATTTTAATAAAAAAATATATATTTCCAGCCATCAAGTGAGAAAAAAAAATTTCTATAGGTGTACAAAAAAAAATCTTGCCTCTTAGAAAATCCCCCCCCCCCATCACTTTTCTAATGGTCCATCCCTTAGTTAATTAAATTTGCTGCTGTATACATTACGTCGCAACGTGTCACTATTTAATAAACTTATGTACAATTACAAATCAAGCCCACAAATCGTTGAATATACTCTTACCGCTCGTTGCAAATCACGCAGGCGCCTATTTAAAAAGCCCCAGCAACTTAACGCTCGAGAGAGCGTCTTGTTTTTTATAATATGCAACTTCGCTGGCAGGTGCCTTGCATGGGTCCAAATTCTAGAGTCCCATTCGTACCTTGCCATTTTGGATCACTCGCTATATATATATATATATATATATATATATATATATATATATATATATATATATATATATATATATATATATATATATATATATATATATATATATATATATACTGTATATATATATATATATATATATGATCCGAATAAATTTGTTAAAATCAATTCAAATAAACGCCGCTCTAAAATCTCATGCGCCGAACCTAATAGCTGTATTAAGTGTAGACTTTCCAAAGTCCTTTTCAGGCCCTTCTATGGCGCGCTGTGCTGACAAGTGAGATGTTCGATTAAGTTAATTTCGGCAGAATTAATTAGGTACGAGTCAGACAGAGACAATACACCCTTTCAATAATTACGTCACACATACTTTTTGGTCCTGAAGCTTCGCTCTCATTAGTAAATTACGCAAGGTGATTGGCTCACGGTTCATGAGAGCGAGGCTCCCAGGCCAAATGACGTAATTATCGAAAGGGTGCATTGGAGCGACCATAGTCTGAATAGAATAAGAAGGTTAGATTAGAAAACTCGATGCTGACATAATATAGACCTCATTTAAAATTATCTATATTTTTGTTTTGGTTTATGCAAGAAATGGTCGGGTTCATCGTCACGCCGTGTATTGTATTTTCGCTAAAGCAACCGATAGCTATGTTTTCATTTAACCATTGTGTAATATCACAGTCGCTCTCTCCTCCGCAGAGGCTTTAGTTTTCTTAGGATTTAATATTACGATGAGATACATTTCACTACACTTTACATGGCGGATCTTGGAACACGAGCGTAGCCGCTGGGCGAAGGAGCGCAGGCGGCAAAGGGAAAGGCGAAGGAAGGCGCGAAGCCAATTAAAGCCTCTGCGGAGGAGAGAGTCACAGTCCTAACTGGCGCAGGCAAAGGCTGCATGGGATGCGGGCTACACAGAGAGCCTGGGCTCCTGTGGTAATATCACGACTGGGTATTGGGTAATTGAACCAACACACAGCTAGTGGTTGGTTGGGCGGAAAACAATACAGACGTGACGATGAACCAACGATGTTTTTTTCAAATTGACGTGTTTGTGAGGGAAGCGGAAGTAGTCTGAGAGCCTGGCTTGCTAGGTTGCTAATGAAGAGATGGTACAGTGGTACACCAAAGAGAAACTGATGATGTCTGCATGAAGTTCAGTAAGTTTTGCTTATATATTGCTGTATAGTGGCATCAATTTTACAGCATCAATGATAATTGTTTTTCAATTGATAATATTTAATACTCATTTTGTGTTTCTCAACCGCCAGATACAATTAAAAAAGTTGCTAACTCTGTAAACTACAAAATATTAAAAGCTAAAGCAAAGTAATTGTGAGAGGAACGCCAAGAAGATTCAGGATTTTGACAATTTAATTCATCACAAATGTCAAATACACGACATTGAAAAAAATTGCCTCTTAAGGCTGCATTCCAGTTACGCGTTTTTCATACGCACGTAAAAGTTGAATTCGCTTAAAATTTCATATAAGTGCAAATAACCTTAACAAATACACATTAAATCATACACAAAATTGAATGCTGTCCTTTTATAAATTTAGTTATTTCATAAGTAGGATGTAAAGCGAATTCAACTTTTACGTGCGTGTACGCACGTATGAAAAACGCGTAACTGGAAAGCAGCCTTTAGGCTATGTGCACACGGGCGTCGTTTTCGAGCGTTTTCAAAAACGTTTTTGTCCCTTTAACTGTTTTGACACCCTGTTCACACGATCCAACGGAAAATATCTCTAATGTATTAAATAAACTGCAGCTTCTGTCGTAAATTGATAGTGTTTGCATCCGTTTTAGCGTGACTGAAACACAAATAAAGCAAGCCTTGAACTTAGAAAGGGATTATATAGAACTGAAGAATGGGGCTGGGTGTTTTGAACAGTTTGACTCAACTCACTGGAACTATAAAGTTTTGGGATTTCAATGAGGATTTTGAACTTTGAGAACACAGATCAATTGATAGAAAATTTATGGCTTCAAATTGAGTAAGATTCGGGAATGAATTTATTTTTTATGAAATATACAACTAGATTTTTATGATAGATCACGTGTAATAAAAGGCGTGTAAGGGAATTGTTAACTGATTCAGGAACACATGCATCCAGACATCATGCAGTTGTCGGAAAATCTGCAAGGCTTTTAAGGATATTTCTAATAAAGGCTGAAATGCCAGTAAATGTTTTCGTTGACAGGATTTGGGAGTGTTTTTTTTGTGGGCACAAAGTCGTGTCTGAAACTCATATGACCGGCAAAATTCCCCCTAAAAATTTAAAGAATTTAGAGTGTTTGCTACAGAGGAAATCCGCAAACATAGCTCAAAATGGGACGATATGCGCCTGAAATATTGCGGTAAATATTATTATATTTTAGGTTTTATAGGCGAGTGTAGGTTTAGAGGAAGACGTCCTACCGCAGTCGACTGAAGTCGGGAAAAGTTGTTGTTATTGCACTTGACTGACTTGAGTTTAGAGTGTACTTCGAAAGCCGTATATCCGGATGTTATAGTCACGCGATCATGCCCACTTTCACCGTTCCAAATATTCAGATTTGATTCTCTTCCTGATGCATGTGACAGTTGTTTACACACCAAGGCAACTAAATTTCATAAACGGCCCATCTGCTTCATTATAAAGGAAATATCGTATCTTTTGTGAGATTTTGAGTTAATTTTTAAAATACAATAGACGATAATATAACACACTTTCAAGTTTAGTGTTACACTGATCTGATATATCTTGCGTCATGGTAATTAATTAAATTAACTCAGCTGAACTATGCCTATCAGTCTATCACACGCCGGCGTCGCTCGCCGCTTTTCATAAAGTTTTCATAATGTTCAGGCGAGGTTTAATGTAGAACCTATAGCTTAACTACAGCTATATAACAGTACCCATGCAGTACTTGTCTCTTAGTTGAAAATCCCGGATTTTTAATTTGGATTGTTATATCATGATATAGTATATATATATATATATATATA